ATGCTGATGCGCCGGCATCTCCCCCAGGATTACAGGAACCCGCTGATGGAGATGGAGCCGAAGGTGCTGAGTGCTAGGAAGTGCCAGGTGGTGTTTTTTCGTCTGAAGGAGATCCTGCAGTGCCACTCCATGTTCCAGATCGCCCTCGCCTCCCGCGTGGCCGAGTGGGACTCGGCGGAGAAGATCGGGGACCTCTTCGTGGCCTCGGTAGGAGGAAAAGTTGGCGGATGGCTGGCAAACCTCCCCCCGGACCCCTCTCAGCGATGGTTGGAGGATTTCAGTGGTGCAGCCCCAACCTGGGGTACCACCAGCATCCTCAGCGTCGCTCAAAAAATACACGAGCACCCCCATGCTTTGCCGACCCCCCCTTTTTTTGGGGGATCCCCACGCCATCGTGGCTCTCCTCCCGTCTTCTCCCCAGTTCTCCAAGTCGATGGTGCTGGACGTCTACAGTGACTACGTCAACAACTTCACCACTGCCATGTCCCTCATCAAGAAGGCTTGTCTCACCAAACCTGCCTTCCTCGACTTCCTCAAGGTCAGCAGGACCCAAACGCAGGTGCGCGGGGCTGCCGGTCACCGTTATGGGTGCAAACTCCTCTTTTTTGTTTGTTTTGTTTTGTTTTTTTTTTATTTTTCCCCCCTGCAGAAGACAGAAGAGGCAGATGGCCAGCGCTGACCGGGTCACGCTCTACGGGCTGATGGTGAAGCCCATCCAGCGATTCCCCCAGTTCATCCTGCTCCTGCAGGTACGGGTGAGGGGTACCAGCACCCACCTTGCTTTGCACCCTATTTTTTTTTCCAGCCTGGGTGCTGCGGGAAAGGGTTTAGCAAGGAACACGGATTTGGGTTGGCAGCTTGGTTGCAGCTTTGGGGACATTCCCCCAAAATCATCTTCCAAGCTTTGATTTTGGAGGCACTGAAAGCACTTCCAATCGTAGCAACCCCAACGGGACTGATTTTTTTTTTTTTTTAATTTTTTTTTGGGGGGGTGGCTTTTGTCCCCCATCCTTTCCCCCACCCCAGGACATGTTGAAAAACACCCCCAAGGGCCACGCAGACCGCCTGTCCCTCCAGCTGGCCCTCACCGAGCTGGAGACGTTGGCGGAGAAACTCAACGAACAGAAGCGCTTGGCCGACCAAGTCGCCGAAATCCAGCAGCTCAGCAAGAGCATCAGCGACCGCAGCAGCCTCAACAAGGTGGGTCCTTCAGCCTCACCTCCTCATCCTCGTGACGGGTGGGGTCTGGAGCTGGTGGTTGAGCTTCCACCTTCCTCTCCGCGTCGAGGGTTTCGGGAAGCCAGAATTCCCTTTTTTTTTTTTTTTTTTTTCTCCAAAAGGATGTTGGGCAAAAGTAAATCTTGAGGCTGGCACGGGGAAACTCCCCTCCTGGGGAAAACAAGGATGAGCCGCTTTGTCTCGTCTGCCTGATTTTGCAACCGTTGGTGGAAAAAAAACAAAACCCCACACCCAAAACCTCCCTAAATAAAGCTGTTGTGACACATCCTGGGCTGGGACCAGCCGTGGCGGCCAA